AACCCCATCTCTACTAAAAATACAAAAATTAGCCGGGTGTGGTGGCAGGTGCCTATAGTCCCAGCTACTCAGGAGGCTGAGGCAGGAGAATTGCTTGAGGCCGGGAGGCGGAGGTTGCAGTGAGCCGAGATTACGTCACTGCATTCCAGCCTGGTGACAAGGCAAGACTGTGTCTCAAAAAGAAAAAAAAGAGAAAGAGAGAGAGAGAGAGAAAGAGAGATCGATCAGCCACGCATGATAGCTCACGCCTGTAATCCCAACACTTCGGGGGTCAGGGGAGTGGGGACTGCTTGAGTCCAGAGTTTGAGACCAGCCTGGGTAACATGGTGAGATCCTGTCTCTGCAACAAATTAAAAATAAAAATTAGCTGGGCTTCGTGGTGCACACCTGTGGTCTCAGCTACTTAGGAGGCTAAGGTAGGTGGATCGCTTGAGCCCAGAGGTCAAGACTGAAGTGAGTTATGATCGCACCACTGCTCCTCCAGCCTGGACAGAGCAAGATCCTGTCTCAAAAAAATAAAAAATAAAATAAAATATGCAATACCATGAGTAATGGACAAAATTATGTCACTGCCTTGTTACATGATGCACTGAGAATACATCAATTCTTATGTCCAAATATTCATAACCTGAATCTAATCATGAATAAACCAAAATCAAAGAGCATTCTACAAAAAAACCGGGTTCTATTATTTTAAAATGTCAAGGTTTTGAAAGACAAAGAATAGCTGAGGGACTGTCCCAGATTAGAAGAGACCAAAGAGACAAGTAAATGTAACACACGTGACACATGGTAGCACAATGAAGCCTATTAAAGCAAAACAAAATTGTTTTTTGGTTAAAAGGCGATTACTGAAGAATTGGAAAAATGTGAGTAAAAACTATAGATCAGATAATAGAGTTACTTCAATGTTAACTTCTTTATTTCGACAACTCTACTGTAGTTATGTTAGAAAATATCCTTGATTTTTTGTTTTGCTTTGTAGAGATGGAATCTTGCCATGATGCCCAGGAAGGTCCTGAACTCCTGGACTCAAGTGATCTTCCCACCTCAGCCTCCCAGAGTGCTAGAATTACACAGGTGTGAGCTAGCAATATCAATGTTTTAAAGAAATCCATATTCTAATATTCCATAAAAGGGCATCCTGCCTGGAAAATCACTTGGCTCAGGAAAAAATAATTCATGTGTGTGTGTAGAGAGCAGATTAGGCCAGATGCAGTGGCTTGTGCCTGTAATCCCAACACTTTGGGAGGCTGAGGCAGGAGGATCACTTGAGACCAGGAGCTCAAGACCAGCATGGGCAAGAGTGAGACTCCATCTTTACAAAAAATAAAAAACACAAAAATCAGTTGGGCATGGTAGTGAGCACCTGTAATCCTAGCTAGTCAGCAGCATGTGGTGGGAGGACCGCTTGAGCCAGAAGTTCCAGGTTACAGTGAGCTATGATCATTCCACTGCACTGTAACCTGGGAGATAGCGTAAAGGCCTACCTCAAAAAAAAAAAAAAAAAAGAGAGAGAGAATGATAAACGAACATGATAAATGTTAACATCTGAGGAAATCTAATTAAAGAGTACATGGAAATTCAGTAGGGTTTGTCAACTCTCCTGTATAAAATTATTCAAAATAAAATATTAAAATGTATTAAGAACAAGGCTAAACTCGTGCAGGATTCCAAATGTCTTAAAGTGTTATTTTCTTCTTATGCCTCTAATCCAAAGGTTTCCCTACTAGGATTTATCAGTCTAAAATAAGAGCTCAAACATGATGGAGAGACTAACAAAACAGGGCTTCAATGTATTACAAGAGGAAAATGAGCTGCAGATTTCATCTTAGATGACAGTTATCACCCAACTTCCTTGTAAATCATTCCTCCAAGTCATTGGGCTTACAAAAACTTATGCTGCACCTAAAGTCCAAATGTCAGCGGCATTTTTCTCCAACAAATGGAACTTCTTCAAGAAATGAATAGCCAGTTACCTATTATATGCAACATACTATACTAAACATTACAAGATATAAAATAAGCAAGGTAGTTCTTATTCTCAAGTAATTTTTTATTCTAGAAAGAATTTGGAAAACCACAAACACACCCTCATCATCATATTAAGTACTCAGGTAAAAATTCCTGCACCTTTACATAATTTTCCTCTCTCCCATGTAAGCCCTCCCTACGGATCCCTTGCTAAAACTTTTTTTTTTTTGGAGACAGAGTCTCGCTCTGTTACCCAGGCTGGAGTGCAGTAGCGCAATCTCGGCTCACTATAAGCTGCGCCTCCCAGGTTCAAGCAATTCTCCTGCCTCAGTCTCCCGTGTAGCTTGGGACTACAGGCGCCCACCACCAAACCCTGCAAATTTTTTGTATTTCTAGTAGAGGTCTCGATCTCCTGACCTCGTGATCCACCCACCTTGGCCTCCAAAGTGCTGGGATTACAGGCGTGAGCCAGCACACGCCCGGCCTGCTAAAACTATTGCTCAGAACTCCCTCTCTTTACGCCTGGTCTCTCTCTACAGTAAATGTACTCAGAGCCTGATAGAACATTAAATTCTACAAAATCCAAAGGGTATACAGAGAGAGAAAATATTCCAGGCCTTTGGATGGATGGGTCCTATGTGATCAACTTTAATCCTCAACAGATTATTTTAAATTTCTTCTAGATAGAGAATCCAAAGCAATGTTTTAAGTTCTACTTACCATCTGTGTTCTTTACTATGTTTTGCCCTGGCTGAGAAGCCAAAATACTAATTTTATAAATAGGAAAAACATAGCTTATATACAGAAAACAATCAGTGACATGTCAAGTAGTATTGGGAAATAAGAAATTATTGTTTAAGATAGGGAAAACAAATAATAAATCTGAGTATAAGCCTTTAACTCTGTAAACCAGTATTTTACATGAGTCTTAAGTTTTCTGAGTAAAATCACTGCCCTCTTACAGCATTTTACTCTAAGCAAGCTTCCATTTCCTAGTTTCAACCTAAATTTAGCCAAATTTCATAATATTAGTAATTTAAGCCCCCACTAGAAATTCTGGGAGAAGCTTATTTCTTCAGAAATTACCTTTCAGATTATAAGTTCCCAGAGTTCTAGTCTCTCTCTCCTACAAAAATTGTGGATCAGCTGGGCGTGGTGGTACATGCCTGTAGTCCCTAGCTACCAGTGAGACAGAGGGAGGAGGATCACTTGAGCCCAGAAGTTTCAGGCTGCAGTGAACTGTGATTGTCCCACTACACTCCAGCCTGGGCAACACAGCAAGACCCTGTCTCTAAAGTAAGAAATAAGGGTGGATTGGCTTTTATGTCTTAGGAAACTCAAAAAATCTTTTACCCATAAAAAGAGTCTTTCACATTATTAACATACTTGAATCACTAAACTAAAATACATAAAGAGAGCTGTCAGATTAGAAAAGAGGAAAATATTTAAGGACTCAAGTAATCCAAGAATTAGTCTAAAACCCATTTAGAGATGGTTTCATAGAGTTCTCATACAGTTAAGACAGTAATCTCATGTGAAGACCAGAGCAAGTTGAATCATGGTTCCAAACTCTGTGGCAACAAAATGACAGTGAACTCAAATTTCTCTTCAATAAACAAAAACGAACATCTAAGAAAAAATTATAAGTTCCATGGAAAATTTACTCCTGAACTAGAAAAAGCCAATTGCTTTCTAAATTTTTCCTTTTAAGCAAATAATAAAAATTTAAAGAGCCTAACAGAAGACACCACTTATCTTGTTGGTCTAGAATAAGAAAATCGCTAAGTGCTAAAACTATGACTGGAGGTCTTTACTATGTTTTGGAGAAACAAAATTATTTTTCAATATGCTTTTGTCATCATAATCAACTTAAGATAACTGAGCTAATTTAGTTGTTATGACTTAAGATGTCTTTATATTTTCATAATTAAATGAAATGGGAAAAAAAGAAATCCTGGAAATGTGACCTAGTTTTAATGGATCAAGAGCCCTTTTCTGATTCTACTCTGGCCCAGAGACCAAGATGAAAATTACCAGCCAGTATGCTGTGTTAAATTTACCAATGAAAGAAGCATTAAGTACTTTCAAAACCTAAATTAAAAAAAAACACCTTATCAGATAAAGTTTGAAACGGAAAAGAAAATCGAAATCCTAGACCAGCGTCTTAAGTTTTGTCATCACTTTCTGTTGGTTCTGATTAGACCAGGTCTCAAATTCCCCATCTGTAAAATGAAACATATAACTTCATAAAAGTATTTTGAAAATCAAAAGAGATGATTTTTTAAATTATTCCTTCTCGGTCGGGCGTGGTGGCTCACATCTGTAATACCAGCACTTTGGGAGGCCGAAGCAGCCAGATCACTTGAGGTCAGGAGCTCGAGACCAGCATGGCCAACATGGCAAAACCCCATCTCTAAAGTACAAAAATTAGCTAGGTGTGGTGGCGTATGCCTGTAATCCCAGCTACTCAGGAGGCTGAGAAGGAGGAGGTTGCAGTGAACAGAGATCGCACCACTGCACTCCAGCCTGGGTGACACAGCAAGACTCCATCTCAAATAAAAAAAAAAAAAAAATTACTCTTCAAGAGGAAAATACTAGGTTTTCCACTAACCTATCACACACAGTGCTTCTCATTCCAGGTTCTTTTTAAGGTTGCCACTGTATGTGATCATCTTGTCTGACGTGCAAAATCAGTTTTCATTCTTAGTAACTGGTTAACAAAATACTTTTTGTATTTATACCATACCTCATTCCAAAAAGGGTCTGAGGCACAAAAGCACATGTATGTAGAGTTTTTAAATTATGCTAGCCTAATAAAAAATAAATTGAACTGGGGAAGATATTCAATGTGGCCTCTCCCCTACCAACCTCACATCACAACCTATATGAAACAGATATACCTGAAAAATTTTTAATTCATTATCTGATGTTAGAGTTCAAAACCTGCTATAAATATAAATATACTGGAGCCATCAAAGAAATAATGATGCTTTATCCTGCTGTCCAAAAATTAACAGTGACCTTACCTTGTATGGATCAAGTAAAAAGTCACTGAACTTGCTGGGCAGAGAATATTTCTTCACCAATTCATCTTCTACGACCCAAGGTGCATTTTCACCAGTACCAGCTCGTAATGCATTATGCCGTATAAAGTATCGAACTATCTCCTTATTTGGTGGGCGCTCTGTACGAATCAAGCTGTCTGCTGGCACATTACTGATGATCTAGGTTAAAAATAAATAAATAACTCAACACTGGGGTAAAAAGTAATTACCCAAACGAGAACAAGCAATATATGTTCTCTCCAGAAAAATCAAAATTCCATCTACATCAATAGAGCTACAAATTAGGAAGAAAAAAAAAATTGGCCAGGGATGGTATCTTACACTTGTAATCTCATTAACTCAGGAGGCCAAGGCGTAAAGACCGTTTGAGGCCAGGAGTTAGAGATCAGCCTGGGAAATATAAAAAGACCCTCTGTGTACAAATATCAAAATATGCCAATAGTCCTAGCTATTTGGGAGCCTGAAGTAGAATTACTTGAACCCAGGAGATCGAGGCTATAATGAGCTATGGTCACACCAATGCACTCCAGTCTGGGAAACACAGTGGGACCCTATCTCTTAAAAAAAGAGAGAAAACGGAGAATAATGTTCAGAGACAGAACATCAATTTAAAAACATCCTTACGCAATCTGTCAATATGTATCAAAGTTTTCTAAAAGTATGTATACCCTTTCAGCAATTCCTCTCGTTAAGAATTTATCTTAGGAAGTAAATGGACAAAGTCATCATCAAATGCTTGTAATAGCAAAAAGGTGAGGACGGGGTTGAGGGTTATTACCTAAAGGTACATCAATAAGGGATTTGTTAAATGAAAATATGTACATATAATGGACACTCCAGTCCTAAGAAAAAAGTTTCTCAACCCAGAAAAATTCATCAGAATCATCTAGGGTGCTATTAAAACGCAGATGCTTGGGCCTCACCACACACTTAATGAATCTTATGACTCTCTGGCAGTAAAGGTTACGAATCAACATGTGTAATCAGCTCTCCTGGTGACTATCACATACATTAAAATCTGAGAACATTGCTTTTGGAAGAAAGTTTAATGACATTACAGATGCTTAGCACACAATAAATGAACAAATTAAGTTATAAAATAATACAGACAGAATAGTTCTACTTTTAAAAGTCACTTAATAGCAGGAAACAGAGAAGGAAGGAAAACAAATTTTTTTTTTTTTTTTTTTTTGAGACGGAGTCTCGGCTCTGTAGCCCGGGCTGGAGTGCAGTGGCCGGATCTCAGCTCACTGCAAGCTCCGCCTCCCGGGTTCACGCCATTCTCCTGCCTCAGCCTCCCAAGTAACTGGGACTACAGGCGCCCGCCATCTCGCCCGGCTAGTTTTTTGTATTTTTTAGTAGAGACGGGGTTTCACCGTGTTCGCCAGGATGGTCTCGATCTTCTGACCTCGTGATCCACCCGTCTCGGCCTCCCAAAGTGCTGGGATTACAGGCTTGAGCCACCGCACCCGGCCCAAATTTTTTTTTTTAAAAAGTCACTTAGGAGCTAACTACCATTTACTAAATCTGTATTCACCAATTATCTCTGAGCATGACATCAGATATCATCTCTTTCTTATTCGCATTTTCTTTCTTCCTAAAACCAACTTACTCTTTGTGAACAAAATATCATCTATATCAATAGGGCTCATCAATAAGAATACAAGTGATACTTAGGGAAGTGGTTAAAACTAAGCATGTTTTAATCAGCTACCTTGCTGAATGAGAAGAAAGTCTGTGAAAAATTGTATTTAACAATATCCAATATTCAAAAATAAAAAAAAATCCTGGATGGGCACAGTGGCTCATGCCTGTAATCCCAGCACTTTGGGGGGCCAAGGCAGGCGGATCACAAGGTCAGGAGCTCAAGACCAGCCTGGCCAACATGGTGAAAATCCGTCTCTACTAAAAATACAAAAATTAGGCATGGATGGTGGCGTGCGCCTGTAATCCCAGATACTCGTGAAGCTGAGGCAGGAGAATCGCTTGAACCCAAGAGGCAGACGCTGTAGTGAGTCGAGACGGCGCCATTGTACGCCAGCCTGAGCGACAGAACAAGACTCCATCTCAAAAGAGACAAAAAAAAAAAAAAAAAACCTAGGCCAGGAGTGGTGGTTCACGCTTGTAATCCCAGCACTTTGGGAGGCCAAGAGGGGCAGACCACCTGAGGTCGGGAGTTCGAGATCAGCCTGGCCAACATGGTAAAACCCTATCTCTACAAAAAATACAAAATGAGTCAGGTGTGGTGATCCATTCCTGTAATCCTAGCTACTTGGGAGGCTGAGGCTGGAGAATCACTTGAACCCAGGAGGCAGAGGATGCAGTAAGCCAAGATCGTGCCATTGCACACCAGCCTGGGCAATGAGAACAAAACTCTGACTCTAAAAAAAGAAAAAAAAAAAATTCCTAACAACCCGGCCAAGGCTTCTGATCACAAACCATAAAACCAACAGTCAGAATGGAATTGGACTTGTCAACATTCTGAGGCAGGAACAAAACAATGTAAATAAAGCAGCAAAAGATTTGGGTTATAATCCTTCCCAACCTCATTTACTGAATCAAGAACTTTGACAGTTACTAAACTTCTCAGGTCTTAGCTGTTTCTTCTGTAAAATGGTTACATCTGAAGACAAATGTGCACTGCCTTCCACACCCAGTCTGCTAATCCACCTCTTTCTATTTATAAAATTCTACACATACAGGTGGTGTAGGAGTACCTGAAAAGTAACACAGTGCCCAGCCCAAACCCATTATTTTATATACCACTATGAAAAAAACCCTTGCCAATTGATTTTAACTTATATCCTGACTCTGGACAAGTTAAAAAAAAATAAAATAAAAACTGAACATCTTAGAATAAATATGATACTAAGTTAATTTAAGAGTACTTACTATTGCAGGTTATTAGCTTGTAGTTTTATAAGGTTCCTTGTAAAAGCACTGAGCAGAGTTGACTCAACGTCTGAATTTAATTATATTAACAAATGACTGCTCTACTTTTAACTGGGAGGAATGATTTCCTTGGAAAGTCCGCAACTGCTGGGAACAGATTCTTAATTTTCAAACTGAGTTTCAAACTCAAATGTGAATTACTTATACCCTAGTAATTCCCATATAAAAAAGAGGAAAAGCATGCTATCTTCTAGGAAAGAAAATATAATTTACATTAACCTGAAGTCATTAATTACTGTAACCAGAAAACCACTCAGAATTTGCTGTACGAAGATATTCATTTGCATTTTTCTTTAGTACATATTCTCCAACAAAAGCAACCCTATGATATTTTCTTAAAGAACATCAATCACATGTAAAAAGTTTAATGTAAAGTGTCAACTAACCTTATCTTCATTTTGTAGTTTCACATCATATTTGTGAGGCAGAAATTTTGGAGGAGCCCATTTCCTTTCTCCTTTTTTTAATGAAGTAGGAAGTTTTCGTGGCGATCTACGTGCTCTGTCATCTAGTCAAATCATAGAAAATTGTGAAAAACATAAATCATTTTAATCCTTTTCATTCACTCATTAGCAAGTCTTAACTGAATGTCCGCTCTTCACTACGCACTGGGTGACGTAGCACAAAAATGAATCATAATGTCTTAACTTCAAGGAGCTAAAGTCTATAAGGAAAGTCACCAAGTAAAAAACTACAATGTGGTAAACAGCATAATAGAAGTTGGTAAAGAAAAACACTATGAGAGGCTGGACACAGTGGCTCACATCTGTAAACTCAGCACTTTGGGAGGCTGAGGCAGGTGGATCACCTGAGGTTGGGAGTTCAAGACCAGCCTGATCAACATGGAGAAACCCCCATCTCTACTAAAAATACAAAATTAGCCAGGCTTGGGGGCACATCCCTATAATCCCAGCTACCGAGGAGGCTGAGGCAGGAGAATCGCTTGAACCTGGGAGGCAGAAGTTGCAGAGAGCCGAGATCACGCCACTGCACTCCAGCCTGGGTAACAAGAGCGAAAACTCCATCTCAAAAAAACAAAAAAGAAAAACACTATGAGAATACAGAGAAGGAATACTAACTTATTCTGGAAGGTAGGTAGAAAGATGAGTAAGAATATGACTTGGGACAGCTGTGGTAGTTCACGCCTGTAATCCCAGCACTTTGGGAGGCCAAGGTAGGTGGATCCCCTGAGTTCCGGAGTTCGAGACCAGCCTGGGCAACGTGGTGAAACCCTGTCTCTACAAAAAATATAAAAAATTAGCCAGGTGTGATGGCACATGCCTGTAATCACAGCTACTTGGGCGGCTGGGGTAGGATGGCTTGAGCCTGGGAGGTCAGGGTTGCAGTGAGCCCTGATCTTGCGACTGCACTCCAGGCTAGGAGACAGAGTGAGACCCTGTCTTAAAAAAAAAAAAAAAAAAAGAATACGACCAAAAAAGCATATGACCTCTTCAGAGACTGCAAGCAATGAGGTGTGGCTAAATATGATATATACTAGAGTCAAAAAAATTTAAAAAGGTAAGCCAGGGCCATAATTAGAAAGGGCCTTGTATACCATTTAGAGAGATTAGAATTTGTCTTCCTAGCACTAAAGAACCAATGACAGTCTGTGGCTATAACTAACTACGGTGCATTCTGGAAAGATCAACATAAAATGGGGCCCATCACAGTGGCTTGTGCCTGTAATCCCAGCACTTAAGGGGTCGAGGCAGGAGGATCACTTGAGGTCAACAGTTCAAGACCAGCCTGGCCAGCATGGTGAAACCCCGTCTCTACAAAAAATAGAAAAAAAATCAGCTGAGCATGGTGGCACACGCCTGTAATCCCAGCTACTCGGGAGGCTGAGGCAGGAGAATTGCTTGAACCCAGGAGGTGGAGGTTGCAGTGCTCCGAGATGACGCCACTGCACTCCAGCCTGGGCAACAGAGCGAGACTCTGTCTCAAAAAAAAAAAAAAAAAAAAAGACAACCAATATAAAATGGAAAGTTGAGACTGAAGATAAGGAAATCAGAAAATACAATGCTAAACGTCTGAATTAGGCTGGGCACGGAGGTTCACACAGGTAATCCCAGAACTCTGGGAAGCTGAGGTGGGAAGACTGCTTCAGCCCAGGAGTTTAAATCAAGCCTTAGTCACATAGTGAGATCCTGTCTCTAAACAAACAAACAAATTAGCCAGGTGTGGTGATACACACGTGTGGTCTCAGCTACTCAGGAGGCTAAGACAGGAGGATCACTTGAACCTGGGAGTTGAGGCTGCAATGAGCTATGACCACACCACTGCACCCTAGCCTGGGCGACAGAGCAAGACCCTATCTCAAAAGTAAACATCTGAATTTATGTAACTGTAATACAAAAGGAGAGTTAAGATGCATCTAGTTCGTGACCAACTAGACGTGAGAATGTTAAAGGTATCTTAAGTTTTTTGCCTTAAAGACTAGGTGGATGGATGGTGAGCCAAGTAAAAGAATGAGGAGAGAACAGTTCTTGTTTACCTGTCTTGGGATACAAGAAGAGTGAGGTCAATTCAGCTTTACACATGTTGAATCTAAACTGCATAAAGGAGGGGTCAAGCGTGGTGGCTCAGGCCTGTAATTCCAGCACTTTGGGAGGCCAGGGTGGGCGGATCACTCGAGGTCCAGAGTTCAAGACCAGCCTGGCCAAACCCCGTCTTTCCTAAAAAATGCAAAAATGGCCAGGCACAGTGGCTCACGCCTATAACCCAGCACTTTGGGAGGCTGAGGCAGGTGGATCACCTGAGGTTGGGAGTTCAAGACCAGCCTGATCAACATGGAGAAACCCCCATCTCTACTAAAAAGACTCCATCTCAAAAATAAGTAAATAAATAAATTGCATATAGGACAGGCAAGTAAAGATCAAGTCAACAGTTAAAAGTCTGACCCAAGCTTGAAAATCACCAGGCTACAAATAGCTAAGAATTCAAACTGTGTGGCCAGGCACGGTGGCTCACACCTGTAATCACAGCACTTCGGGAGGCCAAGGCGGGCGGATCACAAGGTCAGGAGATTGAGACCATCCTAACACAGTGAAATCCCATTTCTACTAAAAATACAGAAAGAAATTAGCCGGGCACAGTGGCAGGCGCCTCTAGTCCCAGCTACTCAGGAGGCTGAGGCAGAAGAACGGCGTGAACCCGGGAGGCGGAGCTTGCAGTGAGTCGAGATCACGCCACTGCACTCCAGCCTGGGCGACAGAGCGAGACTCAGTCTCAAAAAAGAAAAAAAAAAAAAAAGAATTCAAACTGTGGCATGAATAGCATATAACAGTACACTATGCAAACTGAAAAACAAAAGGCAAAGAATAGAATCCTATGGAAAAAGTCAAAGGAATGGCAGGGAAGGAAGGAAGTAAAGAAACGGAATAGCTGACGCACTAGGAGACAGTGGTATCAAGCTAAAAGATATGAGTGATCAACAGTATTAAATGTAATAGATGCAACACTATTCACAATAGCAAAGACATGGAGTCAACCTAAAAGCCAATGATGGACACAAGAAAGAAAACGTGGTACACGTACACCATGGAATACTATGCAGCCATAAAAAAGAATGAGATCATGTCCTTTGCAGGGACATGAATGAACCTGGAGGCTATTATCCTTGCAAACTAACACAGGAACAGAAAACCAAATACTGTATGTTCTCACTTGTAAGTGGGAGCTAAATGATGAGAACACACGGACACAGAGGGGAACAACACACACTGGGGCTTTTTGAGGAAAAACAACTAATGGCACTAGGCTTAATACTTGGGTGATGAAATAATGTATACAACAAACCCCTATGACACAAGTTTACCTATGCAACAACCCTGCACTTCTACCCTTGAACTTAAATGTTAAAAAAATAATAAATATTAATAAATACAACAGAAAAGTCAAACACAGGCCAAGAAGAAATATCTGCATTTGACAATTAAGAGGACACTTGTAAACTTAATAGGAACTACTTCAGGAATATAGAGGCAGAAGTAAGACCACAATAAAACTGATGTTCAGAAAGCAGAGAGAACATTCCTAACCAAAACACTTCTCAACCTCAAGGAATTGCAAGTAATGCCCTTATTACAAAACTTCAATATCAAAAAGAAGAGGGAAACTCGAAAACACAGAAGTTAGCATTCGCAATACAGAGGAGAAAACAAAACTGAAGTATCAACAACTTGTGGTGGACCAACTACAATGACACTCTCAGAAGTTTGCTTCAAACCATATTAAGAAA